CACTAACACATATTTGTTGCTAAATTTCAAAAAGAAGAGAAACTTATTAGATCACACATAGCACTGACTACAGAATAATGTTATTTTAAAATTTAAAAGTTTTTTCTTTATGGTATCTTATATTATGAATGAAAACAATGAACTTTTACTAGGGACTCATTTGCATTGATAAAAACAAGAATTATAGTTTTTAGTGATTTAAGTAATTTTCAATTTGGCTCAAAGTTGTGAATTTGACTTTTTTCCACATTTTATTTTGAAGGGTAATTTACCTTTTATTGACAGTATGCTTTTAGCCAGTTGATAAAATAAAAAAAATATAATATAATCATTAAGGGACATAATACTAATTTTATTCAAATAAAACAGTAAAATTATTTTTTAATGTCGCTTTTATTACTTCGAGGCGTTGTGCGAGCACTCCTTTTTTACGATCCTGAAACCCAAATTACTTTATAGCCTTCTCAACATTTAAGGTGAGCCACTGTAGATAATTAACTCGATTCTTGTTTAATTCATGAGAGAATACCTATCTACATGATGTCTATTAATACGAAGGATATACACCCATAGTCATCATAGTCTATTTTCTTTTTCTAGTTTAGAAAAATAAATACATTGCTTCTTGGAATCGCTTTTCCATTCATTTTAACTGAGTGAAATACTGAAAGGCATAAATGTTAAAAAACAATCAATAATAAAGAAAATGAAAATGTGTGATAAAGGAAAAAAAATCATATTTTATGTGTATTAACCTCTTTACAATGTGACAAAAACAGTGACACTGATTGCATTAAAACTCATTAAAATTTTGATTGTTTTTCTTTACGAAAAAAGTTCAATCAAACGAGTTCCACGAAAAAAAAGAGCTTCACGATTATGTAAATTAACACACAATACGTTTCAATAGCTTTTTTTATCAGAAAGAGGATCGTATTAACCGCTCTATATGGATGCCGTACGAGCCTTTCTCGAGCAGGCCACTAACACTATCACTTCCGGTCAGTATAAAAATGTTTGTGCATTTCTGCAAAAGCATCATTGAATCCGAGCAAGCGCGGTGACGCGGTATACTAAGCAAAGACAACATGAGGACTTTTGTGAGTTAAAAAGCATTATATTTTATTAAAAACGAAATATAAGTGTTCAATAAAAATATAAGCAAGGATAATAAAATAACATAATATTAAATGTGAAAAAGTTTGGTCAAAATGTGGTGTTGATTTAAAAAAAAAATATCGGTAATAATATTTTTAAGTATGCATTACCAACATATTTATGCATAAAATTATGGTTTTATTGAAGTGAAGTTCAAAAATATAGTGAATATGTATTTTTTTTAAGTTTTTGGTGATCATAACACATTATTCATTTCTTCGAAGTAAAATAAAAACGGAAAACTTGAGAGTTCAAAAACCTTGAAAATACTACTTAGTTACTTCACAAAGGAGATTTTCAGTTCATTTCACATCACTAAACTTTTTAAAAGAATTTAACGGTAGCGAAAATTTTAATGGTTATTTCTGTGTACTTTAATCTTAAAGAGATATTTTACGACTTTCAACAAATTTTGTGTTTACATTTCAATTATTATTTTATTATCCTTTATCAATAATTGCTTACAATGTTGTGATTTAGTTTCAAAGTTAAAACTTCAGTTAATTTGATAACATTGAAATGAAATCTATGTAAAGTTATACTCAATGGTAATCTTATATAAATACATATTACCTGTGTAAATTTGTGTGCTTCTAAAATATTTCCAACGTTTTCGCAGTTATTAGGTCTCTGAACTGAAAATTATTCAGTACAAACAGAAATCCCACATAAAAAGAAGCTAAAATTAACTAGACCCACTATCACACAATTTACCCGCAGCAGTAACTAATACATTAACATATATATTACATTCTGTTGTTTATCTGAAAACAGTTTAGCCGGCAAATACGAGTACAAAGCGAATGTAATAGATCACGATAGTAAAATTCACCCGCACAATAGTTTTCGTTCAAAAACCTATTGTTATGAGAAACCTTTGTTCTATCACTGCCTTATCTCTAAATCAAATATATAACTACCGTAATAGCTTTAGTTCTAAAGCTCAAAAATATAATATTGTGTGTTTTTCATTAACAAATTCTAAATATTGAAACGTTTAATATCCATTGTATGTAAAACCTAATTTCAGTTTCACATAAAATGTGTTCTGTTAGATTCATCAGTCTATCTGTTTAATTCAGCTGGGAAACGTACTTAAGATTTAAATAACTCCTAATTGTCTGTTTTAACTTTTATAGATTTAGATGTGAATAATAAGAAATGTTTGGCTAAAATATCAACACAAACAACTCCCTTTGTCACGTAGGCTTCGCGTGGTAATTCGGTTAACATGGCAATGCTTTTTCCGCTGCCCAAACCCAAACCCAAATCCGATGAAGCTAACGTCTCATGCGCTATGGGTATTACATATTCGATCGTGCGGGACAATCTCCTTGTAACACTACTATGCCACCAGTAGCTGATATTTGATGGATTAGTTACGTTGCGTCATACATAAGCGCTGCTGTGGCGAAAATTCTTGTGCCTTTCACAGGACCAATTTGCTGGCTTAGATAAGACACGGGTCTCGGAAGAAAAGGGGCATTTTGTTTGGTTTTATGCTTATTGAGACTGAGGTCAGTTTTTCTTTACTGCTGTTCAATAAATAACCATTTTAGTACAACACAAATAATATGCTTAATTTTTTTTCTTTTTTGGTCCAATTCAGAATACTTCAAAAACCTTTTTCGCTTGATTACATATTATAAAAATGAGTTAAGTTAAATATAATACTATGGTAAAAAATTCAAATAAAAACTTCAAGTCTCAAATTTCGTAATTCTAAAGACCTTCTAAAGATTCTATTGAATTCACAGCGTATTCCATTGGAAAACGGTTCTTTTATGAATACCAAATAGCACATGTTTTCAGTTCATGGTTTTTCAAGCGTATTTCATTCGACAATTTAATAAAGTACCTCATAATAACTATGTTAAAAAATGTTTACAAATTGTTATAATTTCAAGTTTATACTATTCCGTAATTAGTTCGGCCGATACTGCTCTAAAGGTTTGTCTTAAGAAAATAGGTGTAATTAAATTAGTTTTTTCTGATTAAAATATTATGATAATCCTTTACTTATCGTGTATATTTAAAACGTACGATTACCAAATATTATTCATGAAACGACTAGAATATTAACACCACTTAAGGTATTTTATCTGTCAAAGGAATTTCAATCCGCGTTTTCGGGACAACTGTCGCGAGTTCGTATTTATTCCTTTACCAATACAACTGGAGTAAGGATTTAATTAAAAGTCAGTTCGGAGAAATTGGAGCTGACACGTTTAGACAGAGCGGTCAATTTGACTATTTCCTTTTAAACAGAAAACATCGTCTTACTATTGCATTGATATAAATATACGCCCGATAGGTATTGAACCCTTAGCGTTACACGTTAACAAAGCCCTTTTTTTGTGTAGATCAAGTAGATTTTTGGAAACAAAAAACTAGTAAATTGTTGCGCGGCATAAGTAAACAGGGACGTTTATGCTTTGATATTGGCACTTTACAAGTTAGGAATTTCATATGTCAAAATTGTATATAGATTTATTATTCAACAGTAAACTCTTTCAATGATTACATAAATTGGTTCTTGAATGTCTTGTTCGAGTATTTACGAAAGTAAAACTGCAGACAGGATCTCATTATCGGAAACCTGTATTGATGTAAGTATAACAAAAGTGCTTACATTCACTCACTTACATTCACATCGCAGACGCAAGCAGATATTGAAGTACTTTTTATTATAAGTATTTTTATGTGTACTGAACTGTAACTATATTCTTGATTTGATTCATTTTGAAGATAAGTATTTAAATTTTGATTTTCGTGTTCACATTCAAAACAAGGTTGGTATCGTTTCAAATTTAAGCCAGAATCGAATTTTGAAAATGTCCATAAAAAAAAAAACTGCAAAAGAATCATAGGATTCTAATTTTAAAAAGCCTTCACTTTTCTGTTCGAATTTTGGTTTGAATGAAGATTGACCGACTGTAATCTAGAAATTGTCAGTACACACAATCTAATAATGATAGTGCTTTTAACATCATGAACATTAATATTCTTATTGCAATTGTACACATTGTCATGTCCCTGATTGTATTATAATTGTAACGATTTATTGCAATATTGTATGTCTTTGCTGTATGTTGTATTGAATTCACTTACATACTTTATGAATAGCCCTGCAACCATATGGGCTTGGCAGAGCATAAAAGGTAGGTCATCACAATATAGATAAATAATATACTAAAATTTGTTATTAATTCAATTTTGATTGATGATGATGTTGTGACCATAATAACGCAACCGTGACGAACAATGATGGACAGATCATATTAGATAAATATTTAAGTAAAATCGACTGTAAACCCTCAGTATATAAGGATTATTTTCTATTGTCCGTTAGTTAGATTCGATTACTTTTGAAAGAAAGCCTCTTACTCACTAAGCCGCCTCTCACTTCACCTTTTTTTAAGACCACATAAGTGATTTTGATCGTGACGTATATTAAATAAAGACGACTGCACAGAAATGCTGTGCCAATTAAAATCGTACTAATGAACAGTTAGAATGTAGAGTGAAAAGATTCGTATTAGTATTCTGTCAATTGTTTCGTAGAATCTTTGTCTACGAACAAATTGCAAAAGCTGGATTTCATCATCATCATCATCATCATCATCAGCCTATTAATGCCCCCACTGCTGGGGCACAGGCCTTCCCTATGGATGGAATAGAGAGACTGGGCCATGACCCACCACGCAGGCCCAGTGCGGATTGATGGGTGCTAACGACTGCAGATGCAGCCGGGATCAACGGCTTAACGTGCCTTCCGAAGCACGGAGGAGCTCGAGATAGGAATTTTTGGTCACCCATTAAATGACCGACCACCGCGAAAGTTGCTTAACTTCAACGATCGCAGCCGAACGCGCTAACCACTTGCGCCATCGAGCTCCTCCAGCTAAATTTCGAATAGGTTCAATTCAAATAACTATAAATGCGGTCAATGACTGAAGATTCTTCAATTTCTACAGTCTTAGTCTAAATTATTTGATTTATTTTTTTATCTTAAAAGGATGGCAAATTAACTTATGACCTGCCAAATGGTAAGCGGCCTCCATAACCTATAGATGCTTGCGATACCAACAATATCGCTCGCACCGTTGCCTACCCTGACCCAATCCCCTACCCAGTGGAGCCCTGGTACCTTACTCACCGACAGAGACACAACACCACCAATAGGTAGTGTTATTTTACTGTGGTTTTTTTACGGACGCTCCAATTCGAGCGGGAAATCCGCTATGCCCTATCTCTCTTAAATTCATTTAGTTTTTATCTCGATTAATAATACTTCTTAATAAGCGTATGATCCTCTAACTAAATCAAACTTAGGACAGTCTCCCTTTTCCCTTAATTTTAAAGGATATAATTCAGCAGTCAAATTAAAAAAGTTTTGCAGTCAAATTAACTTTTAGGATGAGAATTAAAACATAAAAAATTAGAACCGAAATTTATTTATCACTTTCTTTAAGCCAAAAAAAAATAATACGACTAGCTAAAAATACAAACAGTCAATATAAATAATGTAATGTCGGAGCTAAAAATAAAAAAGAAGCGAAATGTGACTAATGAAGTCGTTAGTAAAGTAGCACATTTCTATTTTTATACTTCCTTACATCGCGAAAGCTTCGGTTTTTACGCGCATCGCTAAAATTCCACTACATGCTATTACATCAGCAATACACGGTTATTACGATAGGTATTTCATGTTAATTACGACGGACTCATGACTATCTGGTTGTATATCAAATGAAGTTCGGTAATTTTTTTTTCGTATGTTCTCATTTCGGAAAGTTCGTCAAAACATGTTTTAATTCGAAAAAGGTTTTATTTATTTTCTATTATTAGAGTTTCAAACTCATCAAAAATAAATTATTGTGTTGTTCTATTTTTAAATCAGCATGCTCTGTACCTTTATTTCAATGGAAATAACATAGACAGATTATTTAGAAACAGCATGCAAAGGAATTAAGATCTCATAAGGCCTTATCGCTTATTAATATGCGTATGACATAACGCAAAAACAGAGCACATGACTTTCTCATCATCAGAATAAGCCTACATACAGTAAGTGTTTATTAGTGCCATGGAATAAATTATATTTGTCATAATGTCTTAAGCAGTTTTGCTTAAATTTAGATTAAAGTTAGATAAGTAAAGATGGTAGAATTTAAGTATAAAATGTTACATAAATTTAGGCGTTGCTGTAGTATTAAAAGCAAGATGTTACTTATATATTTTGCTTTACTTTAACGACTTTTTCCGATAGTTTAAAATGATTCAAATTGAAGCATTGGTTGTTAGAAGTATATTTTATGTAATATAAAAAATCGTCTCACGCTTCTCTTACTTAATTAGTGAAATAATATTTATTTCTATTATTTTAATTTCTGTCTGCAAACTTGAACACGCTCGGTGTAAGAAAGTGATTATTTTCGTTACGCAACATTTCTTCATGTTCTGTTGTTTTTGCACAGAAGACATTTTATTGTGTAATTTAGATTATTTCCGAATTTAATAAGGATTTTTTACATTCTAATTACTAATACATAATTACAAAAAAACCAGGCGTATTGTGGTTAAACCGATACCAACCATATATTAGAAATCACAAAAGCGTTTTTATTCAAGCCAAGATATTTTTTAAATTAAGCTGTTGATTCCAAAAAGATCATTAAGTTCCATTTTTAGAAAAGGTCGTTAAGGTTGAGTATCAACCAAATTTGCCTCGTTTTTAGAGGCAAAGAACATAAAAAAAAACGAAAAAGTATTTCCTGATGGCGCCCGTGACAAATTCGAAATTCGAATCCAACATTGGATTTGTGACAATATTAATATAATAATTTGCAAAGGCGGCGAAAATTTCGTGGAATCGTTTTCAATAGGTAAAAACTAAACACAAGCGAGAACTTCATAGCGTATGTAAATATCGATATGGTAATATAATATTTTTATTAGAACTGACAGTTTGATTGATATGTACGTATCTGCCGTGAAATTGGGTCGGATTTTCTATCAAAACCATTTAGTGGGTGTATTTTACATAAGACAACAATGTGTAGGTATACGGGAGAAATATAAATATCGCCCCCGTATATGTAAATATCACATTCATCATTATTTAGGTAAAAATTTTTACTTGGAAATAAAAGTGAGAAAGGTAGACTAGTCGATCGATCGATGTACTTAAGTATCTTTAATACATATGTAGTTACCCTTTTCATTCCCTCGGCAATGATAATATTTTGTTTAATAGCTGATGCTAATTAAACATACTATTTCTCGAGTTTATTCAAATTTTAATGGGACTTACCTGATGTACCTATTTAGTTTAAAATTTACTTTTGTACACAACGTACGCTGTGACAAATCTGTTCCGAATCAGCTTAGACGTTGATGTTGATAAGTTTTTATTTGGCATAATTCGATTCCAAATCGAATTCTCGGCGGGAGGCGAAAAAAAAAGTTAACTTTCAATTGGAATCACGTACTTGCCCAGCGTGTTTTAAACAGCCTTTTGTTTTTTTCGACACTGACGAAGAAAGGAGGTTTATTTTGTTGGAACATCATTAATTCGAAACAATTGAACGTTTCAATTTTAAAATTTGATTTGAGAGTCTTGAGAAGGCACCCACTAGGGGCTTTTATAACAGTGATTAGCAGTTAAATCGTATAACTACTGGGTTGGCACGCATCGCATGTTTTACTAAAACTAATTTGGTTTATTGTATTTAAAAAACTGCGTGGAAGATGATCGATGGAGCAGTTTTACTGTGTTTGCTATGCGATCGTGAATGTTAAAGCAACTGTTGCAATGGTCCATCAAAGGATGGGTGATTGAAGTTTATTATCCGTGCATCGGAACTTTGGAAGCTGTGGTACCGACTGCATTAAATTCGTTAGATCATCATCTCATTCTCATTTTACACAAAAAAAAACAATTTTGTAATGAGTTCCGCTGACAGCCAAATCGAAAAGTTATTCAAATAATTGTTGAATAACTAATAAAAATAGTTCAGTTCCGCCTCTTTAAGAGTTCGGAAAATTTTCAACAACATCAGATCGGATAGGTACCTAATGAATCTTTTGTCAGCGTGAAATCGCAAGAACTCGGTCGGAGACGGGTTTTTTTTCGTCTACTTCAACATTAAATCAAATAATTAGAGCGTAGAATTCAAATACTGATGAATGAAATGAGGAAAAAGAGAAAATAAACACTGGTTACCTATATACGAAAGAGGTTAATAAAACAATTTTATGTGCTAACTCATTTGCGGTAAAAAGTTGCGAACAAAAAGTACCAATTTATTCACGAGAACAATGGAGAGGCTTAATAAAAACTGATATTTGTGTTTTTAGAAAAGGATGATTCATTATCATATTATTAGACTGGAGTTATGGGAACTTGAAAAGTAGACTCTTGTATTTTCACGAATGTTCTCTGAGAGGGCGTATTTAATTTTAAATTAAACCCAAACTCTTAATTAATTTGTTAGAATTTCCTTTTTTTTTGCATTTGCATTGTATTCAAAATGAATACTCTGTTTTACATATTATTTACAGTAAAATACTTAACTCTTTTTGATGTTTATAACTATATTTTTTCAGTATTCAGTATTATGTCAATTTATCTTTCTATAATCATTTAATAACTTGAATGATATAAGGTAAATTGATTAATCGTTCAAATGATGATGTTGAAAACGGAATTAATTCTTTTTTCAACACAGTTGCTCAAAAATGTATTTACGGAGGTTGTATACGTTGTTCGAAACTACGTGCCATAAAACGTAGCGTGCGGTAAAATGTTTTACCGCACGCTCCCATATATGACAACTTGTGTATCCTTTACGGTTTTTTCTTAATTTCGATCGAACCTCCACGGAACCGCTTTTATTCTACACCTTCGTCACACTTTAATACTAAAACAAAAAAAAGAATTTTCACCACCCACACGTGGCGCCATTTTGAAATGCATGACATTTTGTTATTCGAAAAACTAAGTATAGTATAGTACCTAATTAAAGTATTAAAGCATTACTTTAAATAGGTATACTATTTTTCGCAAATGTCTTGAAAAACGTTATATAATATTCGTACGGATTGGTATTTAAAAACTCGTGATTATATTGTAAATAAAATCTAATCACATTCGCCTACTCGTTTGTAATAACCAACTTAGCGCACTTATATCATAAATAACTATATTAAAAAAAATGCTGTTTTATTATATATATTTTGTGAAGCTATAATAATAAGATGATTACTCACTATATTTTTTTTTAATTACGTTCTTAAAGATAATGCGGAATTGTTTCAGCTTACATTTGAAGTCATTTGTTTTTAAACCGCACGAGAACGAAAGTGAATGTACTGTCTTTTCGTATTTTGGAACGGTTACGTCTAGAGAATCTCTCTTGTAATTGCCAATTAGAGTTAGAATTACTATTTTTTAACAAAATCAAAACTGAAGTCACGGTTAACTTAACTTTCGGTGATGCATTCAGGAATTATCTTCGATTTTTCCACTTTGTACCAAAATTGATTCGCAAATTTTCACGTACACCAATCATTTATTTATTTATTTGCTGCCACGGATATTGTAAAGGTCTGAAGCTGTAGTTTTATGATAATACTTGTTGCCGCCAGCGACTTCGTCCGAGTTACACATAGTGTGTTTTATGGGAATCCCACAGAATCCTGAAAATGTTCTTGTATCAAAGTATCCAACGTCTCAATCCATGTCCATCTATGTGAACAAATTTCACCCAAAATATGTTCAGTCGTTTTAGCGTGATTGAGCAACAAGTATACAAACTTTCACATTTATTATACTTTGATTTTAATGATGTATAGCTTATATGCTTTTGTATGTTGTTGTAACAAACTTTATAATTGTTGGTTTCCATTGTTCTAGGTTTGTTTGTTGATGGCAGTCGCCACATGCCGGGCGGGCCACATTGACATCGGTGGCCATGGAAACGGGGGTGGCTTAGAGGGTGGTCAAGGCTACGACTTCTCAGCTCAACTATCAAGCGGTGGTCAAGAAGGTCACGACTTCGGTGGACAAGGCGGTCATGACTTTGGAGGACAAGGCGGTCAATTCTTAGGCGGGCAAGGCGGTCATGATTTTTCCGGCGGACAAGGGCAAGGAGGTCACGATTTCACCCTGGCTCTAGCGCAAGGTGGTCAGGGAGGACATGATTTCGGTCAGTCTTTCGGAGGCCACGATCAAGGCCAACAGAGCTTCGGCGGTCACGAAGGTGGATTCGGAGGCCAAGGTTTCGGAGGAGACTCTTACTTGCAAGCTGCCCATGATTCGGGAAACCAAGGATTCGGACACGGTGACTTGGGTGGCCAGAGCGGTGGCGACTTCGGTCACGGCGCTTCCTTCGGCGGCGGTGACTTCGGCGGTCACGGAGACGCAGGTGGTCATGGCGACTTCGGCGGTCAGGGATTCGGTCACGGTGGTCAACAGAGCTTCGAGCTTTCTGACGCCGGTCATGGTGGTGACGAGCACGGATTCGGCGCTCACGTCATCCCCGTCGGAGAACACACTGATGTCCAAAGCCCCGTTCAGGTTCCTCTGTACAAGCACGTGACCTATCCCGTCCACAAGCCGATTCACGTCAATGTCCCCAAGCCCGTGCTAGTGGGAGTGCCCCAACCTTACCCCGTGAAAGTACCAGTCCACAAACCAGTCGCTGTACCAGTCGAGACTGAGATCTCCATCCCTGTTGAGAAGGTCGTACCTTACCCAGTCGTCAAGCACGTGCCTTACCCAGTCGAGAAGCACGTACCCATCAAGGTGGAGAAGACCGTCACAGTCCACGTACCCCAGCCATACCCCGTGAAGATCCCAGTGTACAAAACCATCCATCATCATAAAGGTCATTAAGACTTGATGAGTGTATTGCAAGAGCCCGTATGTTGTGTTTTGTTGTGTTGTTGTGTTTGCTAACTGTAAATATTGTTGATTAATTTTAAGTCATTTTCAACTGACATGTCATGTTGTAGTTGATTTATTTATTGTTTGTTACATTAATTGTTGTTGAATATAAATGTTACAATAGTAATAGTAATTTCTTTTACATAAAAAAAAATGAAAAGAAACCTTATTTCATTTCGTCCCCTTCCCGTTTCCAATCTCGACTCTGAGCACCTAATCTTTCATAATTTCGAGATTTACAGCGATTTTATAGCGTTATAAAAGTTGTAAATTTCATGAACAGGCGCGATGATATCTAAGTAATATACTCTTTTCCGTTTCTTAATGAAATACCTACGAGAGGTTTTATGGAAAATAAAAGAATGTAGATAGTAATGTAATGTGGTCAATTTCTTTACCATAGACAGAGGTCAATCATGATCAACAGAGTTTTAATGTTCCCCCTGCTACGGCACAGGCCTTTCCTATGGATGGATGGAATATGGAGACTGAGCCATGACAATGACCCATCACACAGGCCCAGTGCGGATTGATGGGTGCTAACGACTGCAAGTGCAGCCGGGACCAACGGCTGAACGTGCCTGCCGAAGCTGGGAGGAGCTCGAGATAGTAAATTTTTTGTCACCCATCTAACGACCGACCACTGTGAATGTTCAACAATCGCAGCCGAATGCTCTAACCACTTGCGCCATAAAGCTCTTCTTTTAGGTTAATTCCGTATAATTCTATGCGGAATTGGTAGAAAAAATAAGACAGGTCTGATAACTTGATTGATATTTTCATTGCTATAGCAAATTCAGTGACAGTATCAACTCAAATTAAACTTTAACATAAAATTAGGCAGCCATTAATGAAATTAAAGCGCTAATAAGGGCTTTGGTAAAACATTCATGCCTTAATATATGTAGACAAAATGATTATTTCCCTAAAGTAATCGTTATATAATATGTCGCAAGCAGAATGTAGATTTTGTCATACTATATTTCGGCTAGCTAGAAAAAAAATGGTGACTTGTTTAACATAATTCAAGTCGTGTTGAGTTGACAGTTGAATTATGGTTAAATGAAACTTACGTTTTTCAACATGGATAAGCCGTAATGTAACTGAGTGGAGCCTCTACTGCAGCTTTGTCTGTTTTTTAGTTATTTTTTTTTACACTCACGCTGTTACAACAACATCAAATATACTAATAACATGAATGACTTAATGCTCAGTATCTAAGAGTAACATTTGAAGTAGATACCTAAGGTTTTCTTATTATTTTCTTACCTGCCCAATTATTTTCAATATGTGATTTAGCAAATCACCGCTAAACTTAGGCTGACGGATTGTAGAACGTATCGTAATGACAAATATGGGCAGTTCTGTTTTTTCTTGAAATAACTAGTCATTATGAGATATTGCTGAATCAACACTCTGTCTGCGACAAACACAACGATGTGTCAGCGGTACAATGAATATCGCGTAGGGGGAAATTAATTTTCTCGAGGGTTGCACCGTGACATTCTGCTATCAGAGCGATGTGTGGTGTGGCCACATGACTGAAGAAAGAAAGAAGTACAGAGGCCAAGTTTCAGGCAGCTCACGTGTGTGAGTGGGCACTGGTGACCTGTCCCGCTAATAGATGAAGGGGGGAATGGCATAGCGGATTTTCCCGCGAATTAGAGCATCCGTCTGTGGAAGTAACCTCAACCTTACAAAAGACCACAGTAAATTATAATCATAATCAAAATCATTTATTCAGTTCAATCTGTTACAAGCACATATGAATGTCTAGAAGCTACGCCATCGGTTCGTAAATCTACGGCGGGAGACCTTGTACTGAGAAGAACCGGCAAGAAACTCAGCAAGGGCTGTTTTTTTCTCTCCCTGTTTTATCATTTACAGAGTCGTCAAGTTGAAAAATGACTTCAGAGATGATTCATGAAGTCACCTTTTATTACATAATGTGAAATTATACATTAATTGTTCACCTGCATTTTGATTGCTGTGTCACACATTATAAATACAAATAGAGTTATTTATAATAGGTGTAATTAAAAATTTACATCTTAAGTATCAAAGTAGTTAGGGCAGACTCATCTCCGCCGGCAGCACCTGTTCACGAGCATGACGCATGTACCATCGCTTCGCTCAACCATATTTTAGGGAACGAAGAAAGCATGGCTATCCATAACCTCCTATATCAACCACAACATATTTACTTAAAATTAAAGTCATTTATCTGTAGGACACTGCAAACAATTACAAAGCAAAAACAATAAAATAAAACTACTTTTTATTGGTGTTGTGATTCTGTCAGTAAGTAAGGTTCCAGGGTTCCACGGGGTAGGGGATTGGGTCAGGGTAGATCAGTCACATTGATAAAGCTATATTTAAATAAAACTAGTTTTTACGGGTTAATACACGAAACTTTATTTATTTATTGACGTTTCGTAGCCTTTACAGGCTACGTTGTCAAATAAATAAATAAAGTTTCGTGCATTAACCCGTAAAAAACTAGTATTATTTAATGAGTGATATGCGTGAAAATCTAAGAAACAAATAAAGCTATATTTGATAAAAGACGTTGCATTATAATTATTTATGCCATTTTTTTCATTTTTAGCCATATATTCCGCATTTTCTTAGAATCTTTTCTCCCATTTCCAACAATTCAAAAATAGTTTTTTAAAGCAAATATATATACAAATGTGAAGTTTTATTTTGTTCATTTGCAAAAATAAATGGATTCATTATCATACAGCCTTGTTGCAAGCCTGATCAGAAAAACAGAACCTTTATTACGATACTTACAAAAACATTTTATGTGTACATTTAGTATTCATTTATTTTTGTAAAACGGAACATTTTCGTTTTGAACAGACATTAAGTCAATTTTATACTTTTAAATATTTGAATATTTCACGAAAGTTTTTTGAGAATTATAAACAGGTCATAAATACCTATTAAAAATATTATAATGTTACGGGTTAATGTGCAATAATTATACACGTTAAGGGCAGTTTCTTAGCCATGGCCTTTGTGGCGGTGTAATAAGAGTTTATTTTCTAAATAAACGTTTCTCTGCGTACCGATAGGCGCAATTCAGTGCACACTCACACACGCACGTTACCTGAGGTTTGCCTATATCTGTGCCTTCTCTACTCTCGTGGTGTGGCCATGCCTTCGTAAGGAAAGACAAAGTCACGTGGTACGTCAAGGAAAAACCTCCCAGTGTAATTATAATGCGGCTAAACTTGACGGGATGTTATTTATTGGGTTTTGAAGGAAAAAAAGGGAATGGGTTGCCTTTGATGCTCTCTTTAACGATTTTGGTTGAATATTAAGTTAATCATTTTGGCTTGTGTTTTTCCACTTATCATCTTAGGGTTTCGTACTTTAATCGGCAAAAACGCAACTGCCTATACTGCCGTCATAATTAAAAAAGTTACATTTTGTTAATTATGAGGAAATCGACTTCATAAATTCATCCTCGGTTTATGGCAGAAAAATATACAATATTTTATCTATCCACAATATATGAATGAAAATAGTAGTATGGACACGCCTTCTATGAGACTATTGAATTAAAGGATTTTATTTTAATTTGTTAAATAATTTACATTTAATCTTTCACCTTAATATAATAAAATACAGTCTTAATATATATATATATATATTCTGATAAACTCTATGTCGTTTCATGCGATGGCTGACGCTTTGGTATTAGTAAGTATCACAGTTTGGGTCCAATTATTGGTATTCTTTTAGTGCATTTTTAAGTGAAACTGTTTATTTATCTCTGTTGTTATAATTTTATTTAAAAAGAATCACGGGCTACGTTTTTTAAAATTTTCTTTTATCCTAACCTTGATCTCACAATAACAAATACAGAAAAATATTTTTCCAATTTGATGCAGTCGATCGGAAGTTTTGTGCGTACATACAGTGCTGTGAAATTGACCGATAGATGGGAGATCTTTGGGGGAGGCCTATGCTCAGCAGTGGGCGTCGTACGCCCGATATGATGATCTTAACAAAAAAAACGACGGGTTGCACTCCGAGAGTGCCAGCAGAAGTGAAAACTTGAATAATAACGTTGTGCATTTTCGATATTTTAGAATGGTTAGGGAATAATTTTGCACGAATTTCTTTAATTAGCAGTATAAATGTACTATTATTTATGTGGTATAATACAATATTTATTTATTGCGCTATCGTACACAAACCTGACAATTTATATTAAATTAAAAAGTTTATCTCTCAGGATTACTCATTTAAGAGCACCTAGCGACATCTATTGTAAAAAAAATGCATTTTCTTCGCAATAAAGTTGCCACCTGGACGTCCTAGATACAGACTTATTATTATAATACGATAAAATATAATATTATTATGATTCGTCCAATATATTGAAAGTCAACAACCTTTCCAATTTTATTGTTTACGTCTTACGAATTTTCGATTTATAATACGATAAAATAAAATATTACTATGTTTCGTCTAATATATTGAAATCAACAACCTTTCCAATTTTATTGTGTGTCATGATGCGATCAGCCCATGTGTTTAACTTGACGCGAGTTTAACATTTTTTACCCATACAAAAAAAGTGTACAACGCCGCTAAAGAAGTTTTCACTTCAATAAATCTAAAGAAAATTATACTAAAAAATATTCCACGCGGACCAGGCCACAGTCCGGGCCCGAAGCCGCCATCTCTTCGCATTGTAGGTTCCACCCACAATGTCAAACGAAAAATACTAGTACCTATTAAAAACATTTGAAAGAGAAATAGCAATCGTAGTTTATTTTTATAATAAAATTTTCTTAAGATTTAAACATCCAGCAGTTGAATGCTCATAAAATAAAAATGTAAGAAAATGTAAATACTTATGATTTTACTGGTTTGGCCTTTGAATATAAAGCCAGTTCAGGTTTTATTTTTCGAACAGAAAATCTATTTTC